AGGAACCACCGGCTCGCTCCCAGGTTGCTTGCGTCCTGAGCAGAAACAGCAGTTTGAAGTTCTCTCCCTTCCTTCTTCTCCTACTTTATAAACAAGATCCAAACCCAGCCACAGTCCCCAGGGCAAAACTCACAGCACTGAGCAGGAGGGTGTGCCGGAGGGGAGAGCCAGGGCAGGAAGGGAGGAAGATGCTGGGCTCGTTTCGGGCTGTGACCTGGAGGAGTTGCCCTCTCCACCGTGTCCCCATTTCCCCATAGCCCAGCTGAGGCTGCTCTGGGGCTGCCACTCTGGGACACGAGTGGGATGAGATACATCCTACCTCATCAGAGCTGTGTCCCATAATCCTGCAGCCAAACGTGACCAGTTTGGTGCTGGGGAGAGGGGCCAGCTTCGGACCACCTCAGTGCTCCGCTGGGTGCAGGGCACATTCTATCCACGCCTCTGTCATGGGAACGAGATGCTCAGCTGCTGCAAGGCGGAGGGGAGTTTTGGGCCAGATAACAACCTGCCTTTGTTGCACATAGTTGCTACAACAGCAGGGATTAGCTTGAAGGCAGCTGCTGCATCTCAAGGGACTGAGGTCTGTGCTAACAGCTGGGATGGGCTGGCAGGACAGCCATCCTGGTGGAGGCACCGTGGCAGCTCCACATCTCTGGGCCCTTTTCCTCCAGGTGCTGGGGGGGCCCGCTGCCTCCCCTTTCTCCCCCAAAAGTCCAGTGCATGATCACCTGTTGCTGAGCGGGAGCACTGATATCACTTTGCAGCAGGATACCTCTGAAGAGCAAAGGAAAAGGGAGAAAAGGAGTGAAGCAGCAGCAGAAGAGAGACATAGCAGGTGAGTCTGGGGTCTTGCCTCCCTCCAGACAGCTGGAATATGCTCCTCCTGTTCCTCCCCTGCTGCTTCCCAGCCCCAGCAAGGGCAGGCATCGTGGGGGCTACTGGAAGCGGGAGCTGGGAGCACTGGGGTGAAGGATTGCACTGGGACCCCATGGGGAAGCCTGGCTGAGGCTCTCCCATCTCCCCCAGTCCTGTTCACTCTGTGCCAGGGCAGCAGCAGAGATACGCCTGATGAGATACAGGAGGCAGGAGAGTCCAGGGCCCTGCCCAAAGCACCCTGCACCCCATTGCAACCTCCAGCCCAGCAGGATCCAGGGGGGAGGTTAAAGAGAGCATCTCTGCCAGGCTGAAGTCACTCCTACATGCCTCTGAAAGTGCAAGAATATGCCAGGCTGGAAAAGCATCTGTGGTGGGGTTTTGGAAGGGGTCCCTAAGCCTCAATGCACTGTGGCTACTGCCTCATCTTCACTGCAAATTCCTAGCCCTCAGTCCCAAATGAGCGCACATCTCTCCAGGGCAGCCATTTCAAGTAAAACCAGCTACACCTTGACTCTGTGTCCAACAGGTGTCTGCACAAATACTGCCCTGGCGCCTGGCTTGAGCTGGAGGTGTGTCCTAGACAAGTTTTCCTGGGGCAGACACCCCAAGGCTGGCTTCCTCTGGGCCATTTGATAGCCCTTTGTGTCCCTGGGCCAAGCCCCTTTAAAGAGCTGCTTTTAACTCTGTCCCTTTATTCTTCCCTCTGGCTGCAGAAAGCCAAGCTGAAGAGAAGTACAGAAAAGCAGCACTGAAGGCTGACGTGCCAAAAAAGCAGCCGGGTAAGGTCAGGAGGAGCCAGGGGCTGGGGCAAGCAAGGGATGCCTGCTGCCCTGCATGTACTTCCTAGGGACTAGTCCTTCCTGGCAGCAAGTCATGCCAGAGGATGGCACACAGCTTCCCTTGTGTGTGGGCTCCAGCCCCAAGGGCTGCCTGTGCTGTTCCAAGAGTCCCTGGTGTGCAGCTCAGCAGCTGCTTACAGAGGCCAGCAACGCCGCAGAGATGGCAGAGAAAGAGAGGAGCAATGATGAAAGCAGATGGGAGGTGGAAGGGATGCTGCGGTGGGGCACCCCTCTGGAAATTCTTCCCTAGCACAGCTCCCTGAAGGGACATGACCTGGCAGGCAAAAGCCAACAATGAAGGGCTCAAGCAGGGGCTGTGGGACCTGGAGAAGGCTCTGGAACAGGCACAGGAAGACAAGCGAGACATTCATGAAGGTGAGGGCAGAGGTGGGAGGGGGCAGTGGGACAGATGCGGGGACCCCACACCTCGGTGCTGCTGGGGGAAGCCAGCCAAACTTACCCCATCTCTTCCTTTGGCCTTGACTGCTCAGCCCCAAACCACCCTGCTGTTGGCTAGCCCTGCTCCCTCCCATGCTATCAGCATGCAAAGGCTCTGGACCCCAGGTGCCTGTACTCAGCGCAGGCAGAGGAGACCCCAGAGGCAGAGACTTTCCTGCCTGCGAAAGTCATTGCCTTGCCATTTCCGTTAGTGCTCAAGAAGGGGCTGATTTTAGCAGAGGTAAAACCTCAGCCAGAGGTTTGCGGTCTTTGCCACATGCAAAACTCCGAGCTTATTGTCACTCTCCCACGCTCAACAGAGAGGTAAAACTTTCCCTCCAGGGCTTCCTCCTGGCCCCTGCCCGGCATTGTCACAGCCCTGCCAGGCACAGAGAGGGTGCACACATGGCTGCTTCTGATGTGTCACCCTGCAAGGGGAGCCCTCAGGTCAGGACTTGATGGAGCCCCTGCTGGGATCCCAGCACAGGGACTGCCTGCTTGTCCCTCCTACAGGCACCACGTTTGTCCCCTTCTCACTTCCCTGTCTCCCAGAAATGACCCAGCAATATCAGGAGCTGCAGAAGCAGACAGCAGCCCAGAGACAGCACTTGGAGGTGAAGGTGAAGAGCCTGCAGGAGCAGCTTGGTATGGCCCCCTTGGCATGCCTGCCCCTTGCTGGTGGGTGGGGATGGAGTTTGCTGCAAGGCAGCAAAGTGCATTTGGGGGGAGTGAGGAGAGATAGGAGTCATTCACCCTGTGCTATATCTGCATGGCAGGTGGAAGCAAAGCCTGACCCTGTTCCCAGTGCATCCCTGACCTTGGGAGATGCTGACTGCAAAGGGGATGCCCTCTGCCACCCCAAGGATAAGGGGGATTGGGCAGGGGCTGTGCCACACACTGCCTGCACCCTCCTGTACACCAGTCACGCAGTTCAAGACTCCTGTGCCAAAGTACTCAGTGTCCCCTGCCTCTGTCCCCACAACCCACAGCCACCAGGCTCCAGGAGAGTGAGCAGACCCAGGAGGCTGCCACCCAAGCACTAGCAGAGAGGGGCAAGACCATTGCCCAGCTGCAGGGCCAGCCAGCACTGGGAAGAGGTAGGAACGACCATCACTGTGGAGCACAAGGAGCGCCTACAGGAGTTTGGCCTCCTGGAGACAGAGCACAGTGGGGCTCATGGGGATAGGCTCTCAGCCCTTCACCTACCTGTCAGCACACTTGGAGGTCTTCCCACATCTACTGCCCAACACCTCAGCTGCCCTGGGCTAGGTAAGAGAAGATGGGTCCTGTCTGGCCCTAGGATGTGCTGCTGAGTCACAGTGCTCTCTATAACATTACGCACACAAACAGCAGTGCGGATTTGTCCTTTAATCACACCCCAAATGGGTGACGCAGGAATAGTGCTGTGATGGGTGGCAGACACTCACTGCCCACAGGTTCACGGGAGGATAAGGAGGAGCACAAGAAAGATGTCCATGCAGGGGCAGACCTAAGCCGACAGGCTGAGAGGTGGGGAGTTCCTCCAGCACTCTGTCGGCCTCCACTTCTTCCCTTTCTCCTTCACACAGCAGCCCGAAGGCCAGCCCTGGGCTGAGCTAAGCCTCAGGCTCCCCAGTCCCCTGGGTCATGGCACGGAGGGCAGTGCTTCAGCTCACCCGGGAGCTCCCAGAGCCTGGAGCTGGGCAAGGGCTTCAGTGCAATGTCTCTAGATATCCCCGGAGGCAGCTGGGCAGGCAAAGACACAGGTCTGTCTTCAGGTTACCAGAAGCCACCGCCATGGTTAATAAAAGCTTGGAGCCATCCTCAGTCAGTGGAGATGAGTCTCTGGGAGGTGTGACGCTGTGAGCCTCATCGCAGTCATGGAGACACAGCAGCTGCGCGTGCAACGGCCATGCTGAGCAGTGCTTTACTATCCCCGGAGGCAGCTGGGCAGGCAAAGACACAGGTCTGTCTTCAGGTTACCAGAAGCCACCGCCATGGTTAATAAAAGCTTGGAGCCATCCTCAGTCAGTGGAGATGAGTCTCTGGGAGGTGTGACGCTGTGAGCCTCATCGCAGTCATGGAGACACAGCAGCTGCGCGTGCAACGGCCATGCTGAGCAGTGCTTTACTCCTCTCCGGGGAGCCGAGCCGGGGGCAGCTT